ACGCCCCTCGCCCTGCTCCGCACGCTGCTCTCCAGGAGCGAGCTGGCCGTGTCCAGCGAGCTGGCTCTGCTGAAGGCCGTGGGTGCGTGGGGCTGGGAGAACCGCGCCTCCCACGAAGTGATAGCGGGCCTGCTGGAGGAGATCCGCTTCCCCATGATGCTGCCCATGGACCTGTTCGAGCTGCAGTTCAACATGTCCCTGTTCCGCGACCACGAGCCGTTGTTTCGGAAGAAGGTGCTACAGGCCCTGGAGTTCCACACAGTGCCTCTCCGGCTGCTGGCCCAGTACCGGGGCCTGAACTTCTCCGAGGACACCTACCGGCCCCGGCTCTACATGGCACCCACCTGGAGTGCCTCCGTCTCAGGGAACATCCAGAACTCCTGGCTGGCGGAAAAGTCCAGAAGGAGTGGCTTCCATTCCGAGTACTCATACAACACTGCTTACACCCAGGCCCCCTCTGACTATAGATATCACTCCTATAGATCTTTCCAGACACCCCAGCACCCCAGCTTCCTCTTCCACAACATGTTCCTCTCCTGGTCTCTCTCCTACCTCCCCACCGTCCAGAGCTGCTGGAACTACGGGTTCTCGTGTTCCTCCGACGAGGTCCCTGCCCTGGGCCTGACCAGGTCCGGCTACCCTGACCCAGCCATCGGCTATGAGAACAAAGCCCTGATGCTCTGCAGTGGCAGCTTTGTGGCCGCCGTCACCGACTTCAGGGGTCAGAAGACCCCGATCCCCAACACCCTGAGCACCAATGGCTCCAGCAATGCCTCCCTCTTCTCCTGCCCCACGGGCTCCTTCAGCAGCTTCTACGCTGTCATCCGCCCCTTCTACCTGACCAACTCCTCAGGCGTCTACTAGACGGGGCGGCGAAGCACGTCCCCAAAACGCTCAGCTGAAGGCCTCTTTCCTCTCTGCAGCCACCTCTACAACAAGCCACCAGGTGTCTGCTCCTGCCTGCACCCATCTTGAGCATATAGAAACCACTGGAAGATTTCAACTAGTGCTCCCCGCAGGTGCTGCGAACCCCATCACCCCCATTCTCCTG